GGGGGGGTGGAATTGGTTGTTGGAGGTTGTGGAATTGGTTGTTGGGGGGGTGTGAAATTGGTTGATGGGGGGTGTGGAATTGGTTGTGTGGTGGAGGGTGTTGAATTGGTTGTTGGGGGGGTGTGGAATTGGTTGTGTGTGGGGGGGTGGGGAATTGGTTGTGGGGGGGTGTAAGTGGTTGTGGGGGGTGTGTGGAATTGGTTGTGGGGGGGTGGAATTGGTTGTAGGGGATTGTGTGATTGGTTGTGGGGGATGTGTGGAATTGGTTGATGGGGGGTGTGGAATTGGTTGTGGGGGGGTGTGGAATTGGTTGATGGGGGGGGTGTGGAATTGGTTGTGGGGGTGTGTGGAATTTGTCGTGTGGGGCGGGGTGAGGAATTAGTTTTGTGAGGGGGGGTGTGGAATTGGTTGTGGGGGGGTGAGGAATTGGTTGTGGCCGGGGGTGTGGAAATGGTTGATGGGGGGAGTGTGGAATTGGTTTGGTAGGGGAGAGATTTGTAAAGCTGGTTGGGGAGTTTGAAGAGTTATTTAGGAGCTTTACCCATAACTGCTGGTTGGGATGTGGTGGAGTTTATTACACTGCGTTATATGTACATGAGGGTGATTGAGTTTAGTTGAACATTCAGGACTCTGTTGTGTGTGCTGTGGGGTTTAGTGTAATGATTTACATCCCCATTGGGTGACTGGGCTTTATTTTAACAGTTGATTTGCCCTTAAGGTTTAATCTGCTGAGTTAAATCTGCACTGATCGATTTTGATAAGTTGAGTATACATTATAGCTAACTGGAACAAGTGCCACACTCCATTTTAACTGGCCGACATCCCAGACCAAGTTTCAGTCAACTGGAACGTGTTAAGATTAGAGCCATGGTTGTGCCTCAAGGACTCCTTACAATCTTGAAAAAAGGGCATTTTTCAATGAAGTTGAGCTACAAGCAAGAGGTGTTATTAAAGTAAAGGGATTAGCAAACATTCACTTGAGTGTCAGTGAGTTGACAGGACACTGTAGTGATCTCATGTTGTGTCGTACACTCAAAATCTTCAATTGATGTTTCATTGAGGAGGGGACTTTAGCCCCTTGTGTGATGACAAATGTACCCTCTGCTGAGGAGGCGTAAATAGTGCATCTCAATGATGGCTGCCTGCACTTATCTACAACAGAAGGTTTACAACAAGAATGGGATAGAATCTTTTTTTTTCACTTTTAACTCGAGAAATTAAGGACTGGAAGAATGTTGTGTCATAGTTTTACAACTCAGGTTGATTCTGAGGAAACTGGAATGACTTGAAAAGATATTCCATGTGCACATTGTATTCAGGTGAGTGTAGTGTTAGTACGGTACTTCAGTGAGAAATGGCAATAAAGACGTGTTTGGAAAAATGGGGAGATTCAGCCCCAGACTGATGAGGATGACGATGTAGTCAGTGCTTTGCTCAGCCTGAGGGGTTGATTTTGAGCTGTTTCCCACTGGAGCCCGGTAATATGGAATATGGTGAAATTACTGAAGAAATGGTCTCACATTGTGGCAGGACTAAGAACACAATTGGACTGAGAGCTGTTTCTATGAAAGGACAGAGTTGACACTTGCAGTCGATTAGATTTGTAAGCAAAATAAACTTCTTCGTCTTTGTGGGAGTGACGTAATCCTAATAAATCAGCCTCAGAGACAGACTTCTAGTTGCAAAAACACAATCAAATCCAGGCCAAGATTTCGAGGAAAGGCAATGAGCAGACATTGGAGGAGGCTTGTGATGGGGATCACAGGATGGATGTGATGGAGGGAAATAGTTGCGAATTGCAAAGGAGTTAGTTCCCTCAACCAATAGGGGAGGTTGACTGGTTATCAGCAACCAAGCTCCCAGTCTCAGTCAGAAATTTAGACCCTCCTATTTGGATGGAGGCCACCAACCCATTTAATTGGCCCTATTTCCAGTCAAAGTTGGCCATATCCAGAAGATGTGCAGGACTAGAGAAGATCCAAGTGAAACCATACACCAGTTTGCGGTAAATATAACGCTGGGTCAGGGGTCTGAAAATCCTTCAGTACACACATGATAGAGCATTTCAAACTGAAGCTGGTATTATTGAGTAGGAGGATCAAGGAGACAGCACATAGATTATGGAATTAATAGAGCAGGAGAGAGAACTCCAAGACCCACAGCATCAATGACAGTCAATGATTCACACCTTGCATTCATTGTCGATTATCTTGAGAGACCAAGAAACCCCTCAGTCTCATCCCCAAAACTGGTATGAAATGGACTCATCTTCAGAAACAGCAACGTAGCAGTGGAAGGTGAAGTTATTGTTCAGGTGGGATAGATCCCATTGGCAGTAGGAGGATAGAAGGAATTGGGAGGCGCCTTGTTAAACTAGGCTGAGTTCAATAAGGTCAGCATCAGTAAAGGTTGATGACCCTTCCTCAGAGCTGACTGACCTACTGACTATTTCTAGTAATATTTATTTTCATTCCCAGCATTTGTAGTGTTTTCCTTTATCGCAGTGAGTGTACACCTGGCAATGAGGGAGAAGTGAGAGAGCACAAATGATAAAATTGGGTATCACAAGGTGGAACTCAAGAATATTTTGCAAGTCTAGGTCAATGCCTAATGCAGACATGAAACAGTAAATAAAGAGCTCAACATATTAAATATTACATGGCCAAACAGAAAAACATAGCAATGAGAAGAGGAAACAGTATCTTAATAAAAACCAAAAGATCTGAGGGTGCTGGAAATCGGATCACCAGACCCCAAACGTTAACTCTGCTCTCTCTCCACAGGTGCTGCCAGACCTGCTAAGTTTTTCTAGCAACTTCTGTTTTTGTTTGGAAAGAGTATCTTGTTCCGATCAGTAGCTAATACAAGTAGATAAATGAGTCTATGCTCAATACCACAAGGGCCATACTGAGTTTTTGAGAAGTTGGTCTGCACGTTATGATTTACTGGAGGTTTTGGTGACCACTGTGTATATAAGAGGAGTTTGAAATATTTATAAGAATGGAATCAAACACACTAATATCACCAAATCACCCAACATTGAATGGTGTTACAGGAAGAATTGTACAAATTGCGATGAGCTCTGTGCAGATGGATTTATTCAGTGACAAACTGGGCAGCTATTTTTGTGTTTCTTTTTGATGTAGGCCTCACCATTTTCTGTTCTCATACAGAATAAACCGTACAGCCCTCATGACATTGCTAATCTTCTATGTCAGTATTTAAATATAACCCTAGGACAAGGTTTAGTTTGCTTAACAATGTCAATAGTAAAGGAAGAGAAAAGCAAGATAAAACAAAGTTGACTGATGATGCATAAAGCTTAGAGAGAGTTCAGTGTTGGTCAGGAGGACATGCTGAACAGCTTGAGGTAATGAGGGAAGTATGAGGTTGGACTTGTTGTAAACAGACCAGGTTTAATCACAAATCTAGCAAACAATTCTCTGAGTGTCATTTAGATCATCTGCTTCAAAGAAGAAATCTGATAGAGGAGGCACAGTAAATCTCCGATAGTCCAAAATCTGCCAATAGTCCAATGTTATAAAGAAACTAAAATGCTTGTTGTCATCATAGAATCCACGTGAGTCGGAGTCTTTGATGAAGAGAAATCAATCATTGCCACAGGCCCAAACATGAAATGGAGCTGGTCACCAATGTAAAAGCTCAAATGTTAACACAGTCAGAGATGAGAAGGAGCAAAGTTCAGCTGATAGAAACAGAAGGAGACAGAGAGAGAAATAAACCAACAAGTTTAATTGAAACTAGGTAGGAAGGAAGAAGAAATTAAATGTCCTCTTCATTATTTCTTGTTGAAATAAGATATGTTTATTAAAACATGTTGGTGTTGAGGAGAAACAAGTTTGTTTATGTATTTTTATCTGTGAAGTATAGTGACCAAGTCAGAAAGCATTGTTCTGTACACTAAAAGTGATGGGCTAGTGTCCCATCCATACCCGGGAGTATTTATCCAGCTCCTGCAGTACATCAGGCAAGGCTCACTGTATCACACTTTTGTCTTTGAGCCACAAGATTCTTGATGTAAACCCCACACCAGGCCTCGAAAAGCAAAAAGCAGATCTGATACTACAGCCCAGGAACAAGACGGTGTTGCACTGTCTGAACTGCTGTTAGTTTGTGGGAGTTGGTTTGCTCAGTTGGTTGAAATACTGGAGGGTGAGGTAGAAAGATGTCAATGACGAAGGATTAATCCCCAAATGATGGGGAGCAGCTGCTAAAGGCCTCCCTTTACACATTTATACAGGCTTGAGGAGTGGTGTCCCTCCAGCTACGTACTGCCCTGTGTAATGAAGGGAGACACCTCTGGTGTTTTTTGGAACATGGTTACTTATAAGATAATTATATTTTCTCTGTGATCACATCCGTCAACTATGTATTGGTTGAAATTGTGGGACAGGCAAGATATAACTTATAATTGCAACCTATATTTTAAAATATTGTTCATGTTAC